AAATAGAAATGACCAGTTCTTCCATATTGTATAGTGTATCCGGCTTTTTCCAAATAGCATCCGGGGTGACTGGTATACGAAGAACTGAATTCACATAATTCCACAAACATATCATGTGGAAGTGGCGAAATACGCCGACGGGTTTGTGCTTCATTAATCCTCGGAAAAGTTGAATTTCCGATTCACAGGTCCATTCATATGAATCAGTCTTATCAACAGCCATGTGTATTTAATTCCAGGGCACTGAAAATCCAATAATCAAAATTAAAAGTATTAGAGAAGTAGGCCAATTACAAGAGGCTTATATAAGAAGTACCACAGAAATATTTCTCTCCTGACTGACCCGCTTATCAGGAAGCACATGAGGGAAACAATGAGACCAGAATCACTAGTCGCAATACCCACAGAAACGATGTGTGATTTTATTCAATGAAGCAAGTTGATAGTCACAGAACTGCAAGGTGACTTAATGCCGGTAAAATGTTTGAGCATTGTGGAATAGATCAAATAAAGTATAACTACATTTCAAAGCTTTACATACAATGATAAGTTTCGTTATCGGTAATATTTCGAGCAAAATTACCGTCCGTCTTCACACCACTGTTGGAATTGTTTTGTTCTTATCTCACACATTTATGATTTTTACTCATATATATATATATATATATGTATATATGTATCTACTCATTTTATTTTTTTCGTTCTTTTTTGTGTATTGAGAATTGTATTCCAGGTTGTTGACAGTTGTACTGAGTCACCCCTGTTACGTGTACCCAGTGTGACCTTAATATAGATTGTGTTATAAGTCTCTCTATTTGTTCATATTAGTTTTTAGAATACAAACATTGTCCCAATCGCTAGTGGGGTTTTTTTCCTATGCATGTTCAGCACGACGTTAAAGCCGATGAATCTAGTTAAAAATAAAATAGATTGACTGAAAGATCCCATAAAATTAATGGATAAAAACAATATAATTTAGGAAATATCTTGTGCCAGGTGTCGGATTAAATGTGTGGGTCAAACGTCCAGATTACTCAAAATAAGAGTGAATGAACATAAGCGCCTAACTAAAGTTCAACCAACATGAAAGTTGTGCTGCACAGGCATTGGACAAAAACCCCACTGTCGATTGTGACAATGTTTGTATTCTAAAAACTAATATGAACAAATAGAGAGACTTATAACACAATCTATATTAAGGTCACACTGGGTACACGTAACAGGGGTGACTCAGTACAACTGTCAACAACCTGGAATACAATTCTCAATACACAAAAAAGAACGAAAAAAATAAAATGAGTAGATACATATATACATATATATATATATATATATGAGTAAAAATCATAAATGTGTGAGATAAGAACAAAACAATTCCAACAGTGGTGTGAAGACGGACGGTAATTTTGCTCGAAATATTACCGATAACGAAACTTATCATTGTATGTAAAGCTTTGAAATGTAGTTATACTTTATTTGATCTATTCCACAATGCTCAAACATTTTACCGGCATTAAGTCACCTTGCAGTTCTGTGACTATCAACTTGCTTCATTGAATAAAATCACACATCGTTTCTGTGGGTATTGCGACTAGTGATTCTGGTCTCATTGTTTCCCTCATGTGCTTCCTGATAAGCGGGTCAGTCAGGAGAGAAATATTTCTGTGGTACTTCTTATATAAGCCTCTTGTAATTGGCCTACTTCTCTAATACTTTTAATTTTGATTATTGGATTTTCAGTGCCCTGGAATTAAATACACATGGCTGTTGATAAGACTGATTCATATGAATGGACCTGTGAATCGGAAATTCAACTTTTCCGAGGATTAATGAAGCACAAACCCGTCGGCGTATTTCGCCACTTCCACATGATATGTTTGTGGAATTATGTGAATTCAGTTCTTCGTATACCAGTCACCCCGGATGCTATTTGGAAAAAGCCGGATACACTATACAATATGGAAGAACTGGTCATTTCTATTTCTTGAAATATTGTAACGTTTCTGTGAAGCATGATTCTGAAGTCGATTCTTTTCAAGGTGAAATGCAAGAATTCAGTCTACCCGAAGAGTTTGATTCCTTGAAGGGATTGAAGTTTCCCCGTGTTAATCACGGAAGCGATACAGATACACTCAAATCTTCAGTTCTAGGTAAGCTAGCAGCCCATTATCACAACTTACAATCCAGTTATATTTTTGGTATTTATGTGACAAAACGTCAACTATTCTTCAAGGGATATAAGTATGTGCATATATATAACGTAGGAAGATATGAATTTTCAAGAATGTGAGTTATCATTCTCTTGGGTGAATTTCGTAGACTAGGAGACAGTTTTGATTGGATATAAGAATAAAACTTGTGCACTGTGGTAGAGTGTCATTCCATTATGCGTAAATTTTATTTTGATAAAGTCTCACAGTGTTATACAGTAATGTTTACTGATGACGTTTCGAGCACAATTTATTGCTCCTAATCATATCAAGGTAATCACACGACTTCCTAACTTCATTTATATAGTTCCGCTATTTTTCACTTGATTTGATTGGTAGTAGTACTTTCCATATTTCGGGTATGAGTGATGAATCATTCCTATTGCATGTGTTCTGTTGGGTGTAGACTCGATGAACTAGCCAGGATTCAGTAATCAACCTCTCTCTCCACCTACCTAGATTACTTTTTAGAATTTTAACCCTAACCCTCCCACCATACTACTGTGAGGTTGTGTGCATTGTATTGCTGAGCTTTTTTCTGAATTACTTGTCTCCCCGGGTAAACCATTCTTACCTTAGCTAAATTCTTATGTTCTGACAATCTGACTACCCCTGATCTACTAGTTTGACCTATGTAGTTGACCTCACAGTCATTTCAGGGTATTTTGTAAATTATATTATTTTGTCTAATAGGGTCAACCGACGGGGTCCTTTCACCCACAGAGCTTGTCCCTGAGTGAGTTTGTAGGTCTAAATGCCACCCTAATTCCTGCTTTAATTAGAATCCTACGTAGGGTCTCAGATGTCCCCTCTTTATATGGTATAACTGTAGATGACTTATATTCTCCCTTATTTATGTTATTATTACTAGTTTCACAGTTATTTTTATTTTGGCCTTTTTCGATCTTCCGAATGAATTTTAAAGGATAGTTATTTAACATCAACGCCTCTTCTATCTGTTTTAGTTAATCATTTAGGTCTTTTCTTGTCCTACTTAGTGCCAGTTCTCGGTTTGTTAAACACTTAACTAAGCCTGCCTCAACAGTTAACGGATGAGATGAATTAAAGTCTAAATATCTGCTAGAATGAGTTGGTTTTTTGTACACACTAGTTTGCAGTTTACCTTCTTCTATTCGTTTTACTTCACAATCTAACATCACAGCTAATTCTCCTTGTTCATTTTCCGCTTCAAATGTGAACTTTATTCCCTCCACTAGTGAGTTTATCTGTGTCAAGAAGCTAGAGATATGTTCTGTTTTTAACACTGTGTGTGAAGGTGTCATCTACATATCTCCACCATATTTTTGGAGTAGGATTAAACGTATTAAGAGCCATATTTTCCCAGCTGTCCATAAATATATCTGCTACGATAGGGGATATTGGTGATCCCATTGCTACACCTTCAGTTTGTCTATATATTTTGCCTTGGGATTTAAAGATAGTAGATGTGAGGCATAACTGAATTCCTAAAATAATTTCTTCAATGGGCAGCTTCTTGGTATAAAGACTAGTTATATCAAAACTAACCAATTCTTTTTCCATCATTCTCTAGTTGAATGTCGTTTAGTTTATTTTTCATCTCATATGAATTAGCTAGTCTAGAGTTTGAGCGATTTCTAATGGGGTAAAATATTAGAGCTAAGAGTTTTGATAATTCATAAGTAGGAGTATTCCTAAAGTCTACTATTGGTTGTATGGGGTAACCTGGTTTATGTATTTTAATAGTGCCATACATTCTACTAGGATTATTAGATTTAGGCATAAAATTAAACCATTTTGACTCACCCAGTGACGGCTTCATTCTGCGTATTAGTTCTGCTGTAGATTTCTTAACCTCATTCACTACTGTATCTACAGGCTTCTTAATTTCCTCATATGGACCCATCTCAACATATTCAGTGGCTTTCTTCATAGAGTCAGATTTATCCAACACTGCTGTGGAGTTTCCTTTGGCAGCTTTCGTAATGACGATGTTTTAATCTCGTTTTTGACTAATTAAAGCTAGTCTTTCCGATGTGGTTAAGTTTGATTTTGTTTTCTTTTGATTTTTCAGTGTTAGTGCACATTGTGCTCGAACCTCTTCTGCTGTCGTGAAAAACATAAAAACATCGTCATTGCGAGTTTTCAATTACAAAAGCTGGCAAAGGAAACTCCACAGCAGTGTTGGATAAATCTGACTCTATGAAGAAAGCCACTGAATATGTTGAGATGGGTCCATATGAGGAAATTAAGAAGCCTGTAGATACAGTAGTGAATGAGGTTAAGAAATCTACAGCAGAACTAATACGCAGAATGAAGCCGTCACTGGGTGAGTCAAAATGGTTTAATTTTATGCCTAAATCTAATAATCCTAGTAGAATGTATGGCACTATTAAAATACATAAACCAGGTTACCCCATACAACCAATAGTAGACTTTAGGAATACTCCTACTTATGAATTATCAAAACTCTTAGCTCTAATATTTTACCCCATTAGAAATCGCTCAAACTCTAGACTAGCTAATTCATATGAGATGAAAAATAAACTAAACGACATTCAACTAGAGAATGATGGAAAAAGAATTGGTTAGTTTTGATATAACTAGTCTTTATACCAAGAAGCTGCCCATTGAAGAAATTATTTTAGGAATTCAGTTATGCCTCACATCTACTATCTTTAAATCCCAAGGCAAAATATATAGACAAACTGAAGGTGTAGCAATGGGATCACCAATATCCCCTATCGTAGCAGATATATTTATGGACAGCTGGGAAAATATGGCTCTTAATACGTTTAATCCTACTCCAAAAATATGGTGGAGATATGTAGATGACACCTTCACACACAGTGTTAAAAACAGAACATATCTCTAGCTTCTTGACACAGATAAACTCACTAGTGGAGGGAATAAAGTTCACATTTGAAGCGGAAAATGAACAAGGAGAATTAGCTGTGATGTTAGATTGTGAAGTAAAACGAATAGAAGAAGGTAAACTGCAAACTAGTGTGTACAAAAAACCAACTCATTCTAGCAGATATTTAGACTTTAATTCATCTCATCCGTTAACTGTTGAGGCAGGCTTAGTTAAGTGTTTAACAAACCGAGAACTGGCACTAAGTAGGACAAGAAAAGACCTAAATGATTAACTAAAACAGATAGAAGAGGCGTTGATGTTAAATAACTATCCTTTAAAATTCATTCGGAAGATCGAAAAAGGCCAAAATAAAAATAACTGTGAAACTAGTAATAATAACATAAATAAGGGAGAATATAAGTCATCTACAGTTATACCATATAAAGAGGGGACATCTGAGACCCTACGTAGGATTCTAATTAAAGCAGGAATTAGGGTGGCATTTAAACCTACAAACTCACTCAGGGACAAGCTCTGTGGGTGAAAGGACCCCGTCGGTTGACCCTATTAGACAAAATAATATAATTTACAAAATACCCTGAAATGACTGTGAGGTCAACTACATAGGTCAAACTAGTAGATCAGGGGTAGTCAGATTGTCAGAACATAAGAATTTAGCTAAGGTAAGAATGGTTTACCCGGGGAGACAAGTAATTCAGAAAAAAGCTCAGCAATACAATGCACACAACCTCACAGTAGTATGTTGGGAGGGTTAGGGTTAAAATTCTAAAAAGTAATCTAGGTAGGTGGAGAGAGAGGTTGATTACTGAATCCTGGCTAGTTCATCGAGTCTACACCCAACAGAACACATGCAATAGGAATGATTCATCACTCATACCCGAAATATGGAAAGTACTACTACCAATCAAATCAAGTGAAAAATAGCGGAACTATATAAATGAAGTTAGGAAGTCGTGTGATTACCTTGATATGTTTAGGGGTTATGATTGGAGTATGTAGAAGGCTTCCCATACATCATATAGCATTTCGATTTTTTTACGAAATCGGTGAATGGACTCTTCATGAATAGTAGGGTTATACATTTTTTTTGAATGCTGTGTTGGTTTGCATTTCCTTTGAAATTAGTCGCCTTTCGTATGTAATTGATACTGTATCCGAGAAACGAGGTCGTGACGTGGATTCTTGGTGTGTGTGGTTATTTATGCCTAACTGCGTGTGAATTGGAACTAAAAGCATGACCCACTAATTTTGTAGTTGGATGTTTTGAGGAGAATCACAGTTTGATGGATCTTGAGGTCATAGCATCATGAAATGTCGTCTCATTGAGGTTGGGCTGACATTCTTGTAAGTTCAAGTGATTCGGTTCAAACACCGACTACTTCATCAGTCACTACTGATGCAGGTGTTGGCATTTCTTCACGCAAAAGACGGCACTGACATTTTGTGTATGCTGGTCGCGAATACAAACATGTTTGTTGTATCTCATGCATTCAGCATTTTCCAATATATTTGTGTCATACTCAAGTCTCGAAAAATACCCATTTAATCATAAGTAAAAACACAGTTGTTGTTTAGCGAAGAAATTTCTTTTCAACGACTTCATTTTCAAGCTGTACAGTCACATTTATATTACAGAAAAAGGTTATTAGGTGGCACTAAATAATTGCTCAGTCAATGTACGTATATATGTGATAAAAGTTATAAGGGGTAGAGTTGAATTGGATAAATTACAAAAATATTAAAGATTGTTCTATAACAAAAATGTCAAGTGTTGTCTGAAAATTTTGAAAATTAGGAGTACGATTACGATAAGAATGAAGATGTGAAGTCAAGTGGCTAAATTTTTTATTTTACCACTTGAATTCTTTCCACTTCACATCTTCATTCTTATCGTAATCGTACTCCTAATTTTCAAAATTTTTAGACAACACTTGACATTTTTGTTATAGAACAATCTTTAATATTTTTGTAATTTATCCAATTCAACTCTACCCCTTATAACTTTTATCACATATATACGTACATTGACTGAGCAATTGTTTAGTGCCACCTAATAACCTTTTTCTGTAATATAAATGTGACTGTACACCTTGAAAATGAAGTCGTTGAAAAGAAATTTCTTCGCTGAACAAAAACTGTGTTCATATTCAAGTGTTGATTTTTGATTGTTATGCTGCTAAATGCGAAATTTTATGCAGCACTTGTTGTGATTCTTTTACTAGGAGGCGGAATAATTAAGTATGTTGAATATTTCACTTAATTTGGGGACTTGCATCACTTGCATCTGAAGTGATCACCTAGGAAATCTCAGGATAGATTCAGAATGCATATCTGGTATTTACCAAGTGTCTACGTGTTTGTACCGCCGATTTGTTTAATTGCCCTTTCCACAGTCATTCCAAGGTGTTTTGCAAATTACATTATTTTGTGTAGTTAAGTCAACTTACAGAGTCATTCAACGGTGTATCGGTGGAACAGTGTTTAGGACTCTCGCCGACCATGCACATGGTCCGATGTTCGATTCCCTGCCGATGCACACCCGATATCTATGGCCGGCCTGTAAAATTTGGGCTACCGATATCCATGCTGAAAATTCCATACTTGTACGAAAAATACAGTGTGGAATCAAGCTGTAATCAGAGTAAATAAAAATAAAAAACACCTGCAGAGCTTGCCGTATCTGAGTAAGTCTGTGGATTTAAATGCCACCCTAATCCCCGCTTTCTTAGGAATCCTACGTAGGGTGTCAGATGTCTCCTCCTAACATGGTACAACTGTAGATTCCTTATATTCTTTCTTATCTATGTTATCATTATTAGTTTGGAACACTCTCGGTGAATTTGTAGGTCAGTAACTGAGACTGTCTCTTTAACGAATATGGGGAGTTCACGGAGTAGTAGACTCTCCAAATTCACCGCATAGACGAATGGGTCTCAGTTGAGTCCCAGCTTCGCGTCATGCAAGTGCTGCATTGCCAGCTGTCTGTCCGTCAGATTCCGCCAACAGTCAGATCGTGATGACTACCAACTCGGTGACAGCACCGAAGTGCCGCAAGAAGCTCCTTATACCTGCTTCTTGGAAAGCAACAGGAAGCGAAACCAATTGTAACTGTGGAAGGCGAGAGACTTAGTAACGGTGTGTTTATTAGGGATTTTATGTACACATATAGGGGAATTATGTACACCAGGTCATATGAAAATCGTCATTTGGTGTACAGGTGTTCAGTGTTGCGCTGTTTCTGCCCCTTTTGTGTTGTTTTGGGTCTTCTGTTCTATTGTTCTATGCATTGACTCCGTACTGGTTCATTTCCTCCTTTTTTGATGTGAAATCTGTCTCTCGGCTATTTGATATTTTTGTGCAGATGGACGTTTCTTAATGTACTACCGATAAGGCTTGTCAGTAGCACACACCACACTACTATTACTACTACTGTGGTGAGAGCTGGCTGTTAGTCAAAATTGGTCGACACTGATTTACGTCATTGTGTATGTTCCCGATATTGGTAGTGAGAAAAATGTGAACAAAGGCTTTCCGTAGGCGGATACAGTTAACATATAGATGATCTGAGATTCACAAAGAGATGCAAGGTTAGCTTTCTGTGAGAAGCAACCAATCAGAAGACTGTGTTTTTCTACTAACAATAATCTATCATAATGTACATGAAAATCTATAAATGTGTTGATTTCCATAATAAAGGATCTGTTGCCTGGCACTTGTGTTCTGTTTTTACACTAATACTACTACTACCAGTTGTTGGTAAAACTAGCTGAAATCACTTTAGATGTAATGGTTTTTCATTGAAACTTAAGCGAAAACCTGGTTTATGATAAATAGATAGATACAGTCGACGAGTGGAACGGAAGCTCCTTTGAACGGTCACTGAGAGACTGTGGATTTCTGTTTTACACCAGTCCACTTCTTAAAGTGAACTTTGTTCATCACACACATTAAGTTGCTACTAATAATAGAGTGGAAAACAGCATGGAAACAATTTGCGATGAAGCTAAATAGGAATAAATTACTTTTATACCATTATCCCTTTGGCTTCCAAGTAGAAACTAGAGGGCTCCAATAGAACATCTGCATTCCATCCTCTTCTACTCAGTTCTCACCAGCCGGAATCGCGATTCCCCATAGTGTCACATCTCCTGTCCACACGATCTCCTCCATGTGACCATCAGACGTAAGCGCAGCTCGTCGTTTCCCATCCGTCGAATTCCACAACAACCATGGTGCGGCGTGCGATTTCATTCGATGGTCTACTCAGTGTGTGTTCGACCCATATCCTTTGGAGTATTCGCTGGTTGGGCAATAGGTTCTTGGTTGGTTCATTCCAAGAAATTTTTCTCGCTTATGCTTCACACTGGCCATGTGATCTTGCGTGAGGAGCTGGCGAAGACACTTATTGATAGATGTCTGCAGCTGGCTGGTGGAAGTGCTCTTCGTGATACACACACCGAGTGTTTGACTGATATAGAAGGGCTGACTGACCTAATATTGGCGTTAAAATCCCGATTGCTGTTGTGTATGCTGTGGAGTGTAGAAAATTTTCAAACTGATTTTAGAGTGATGGAGGTCTGTCTCGTCTTTTCGATTCTGGTTTTGACTTCCCCATTTGTGGTGTATGTCTGTAGTGGAAACGACGGCGACTAGATAAATGCGGAAGTATTCCCGTTCTCATTTCCTGCGTTGATAGGGATGACTGCTTGTTGTTGGTGTTGTTGTTGATTGTCGAGCGTCTTCATCACCTCCATGTTCGCTTGAGTTCCAGTCTCTGCTGACGTCCTTTCCTTCTAACTCGGTGGATTTTACCCGTCAGTCTTCGAGTCTGTGTGATATTGTAATAGACATAAGTCGTTCTCGTAGTCCATATCTTCTAGAGTCTTCTTATTGGTCCAACATATTCCTGTCTTCTCACTCCTCAAGCACAGTCTGCCGTTGATGATAGCAGGCAGCCTTGCCTTACTTCTTCCTCTCTTCACCTCCAAGACTTCTGTGAGTTTACGGTTTGTTTATCATTTGACTGACACGTGGCATTTGGAGTACTTAGTGTTCATTTCACCCTTCTTCAATGTACATCAAGGTATCTTGTTGAAGTTTATCAACAGTGTTGTAGTTTTTCTCTCACTAGTCATCATATAGACACGTGCACACAGGTATGAAGTACGCTCCTAAAAACCTGAGCGGCTTTTGAGATTTAGTTTAGACATTCCATCAATATGGTTCATTAGAGACTAGATAAGATTCCGTTTTCCTTGACACAGTATCTCTCACAAAGACAGACATACGATGGTTTAACTAGTCGAATGAAATGGATAAACTTGATTATCTCGAGAAGGAGAAATGTGCGTGTATTGCAAGCTGTGAATTCCTTGCACACTTAGTTAGCTGCAGGAATTACTCCAAGACAACCGTAACATGTGATTGATATATACATGTATGTATATTTCAATGAAT